GGAGCAGGAGAAAGGTGGGGTGCAGAACTCAAATTCTAGTAAAAAGACCAGACTTAATGGTCTGACTGAGACTGGAGGAACTCCGGAAAGCATGGCCCCCAGACTATCTGTCAACCCAGAACTAAAACAATTCCCAAGGCCAACTCTTCAGACAAAGATTGGATTGGACTGTGGGACATAAAATGATACTCATGAAGAGTGTGCTCCTTAGCTCAAGTAGATACATGAGACTAAATGGGCAGCTTCTGTCCGGAGGTGAGATGAGAAGGCAGAGAGGGTTAGGAGCTAGTTGAACGGACATGGGAAATCAGGGGTGGAAAGGAGTGTGCTGTCACAGTATAGGGAGAGCAATTAAGGTCACATAACAATCTATGTATAAATTTTTGTACGAGAAACTAACTTGAAATGTAAACTTTCACTTACTACAACAATAAACAAAAAGAAAAAGAAAAAAAAAAAGAATCCAGTGCTCAGAGAAGTTAGGTGATTTGCCCAAGGTATTGTTGTGTGCCGTCGAGTCAATTCTGACTCACAGAGACCCTACAGGACACAGTAGAACTGTCTCATAGGGTTTCGTAGGCTGTAATCTTTACAGGAGCAGATCGCCAGATCTCTTCTCCCAGGGAGCCACTAGTGGGTTCAAACCGCCAACTTTTTGATTATCAGTAGAGCACTCAACTATTGCACCACCAGGGCTCCTTTGCCCAAGCTGACATAGAATGTAGCAGGGCCAGGACACTCTTTCAGTGCAAGACAGACTCTCTTTACTGTGAATTTCAGTTAGAGAAGAAGGTCATTTTGTGAGCACTGCCCGAGGAAAAGCGGGTCCTAAATTTGTGCTTGTTTGGGTTTTTCTGCGATGGAGTTAACACAAGCTAGCATGAGGCAGGAATAAGAAAAAATGATGAAATGCTGCCAAGTCATTACCGTACCAACAACAACTATATAGCTAAGAAAAGTAACTCATGACCCAGAATAAATAATTTCCATACACATTAAACTAGCGTTGGCTTTTGGCGAGAACATATTTGAGCCCATGTAGCCGCAGTGATGCATTGAAAGCGCTGTCGAGCACATACTCCCGTGTGTGCTCTGGCTTCCTTCTCACTTTCCACAAAACGTCATGAACTCTGATCATTCAAGTAAAAGAGAAAATGAAGCTCCCCAGAGTTCTGCTTTTGGTCACCGCAACACAGGCCTGGCAATCAGCACCACTCATTTTAGTTAAGTTATTGGCCAGACAACAATAAAGACGGCTTCTTTAAGTCTTTACTGAAAATAACTGGATGCCTTCATGAAAGGCAAACACATACCCATCTTTAAACTAACCAACATCCGCAACATCCCTTTTTTAAAATAGCCATAAAATTGAAAAGGAAAAATACTTTCCAAAGAAAGCTGATTGCTCTGAACTTCCTTCCCCCACACACTCCCACAATTTTTACACAATGTCAATACTTAAGATTCAAATATAAATCAACCAGGCGTTATCTTGGAAAACACTGAAAGCACCTCCCCTCCCCCCACAAAGTATGTGGGCTGGCCAGTCCTCTGGGGGCCAGGGAGACGCCCAGCTCCGTGCACACGGGGTGCAATTTGCAACGTGGCGACTGACAGATTGGAGACTCAGAAAATGATGGCCCTTGAGTCCTTCATGAGAAGTCCACCTCACTAGTAACTTGGTTAAACCTCCATCCAGCTGACCAGGGACCAACATTCAATGCCAGGAGACCACAGACATGCTTGATTAAGACACAATCCCTCTGAGAAAGCTTACTAAGTCGGTACCTTTCTCCAACTGGAAAACATCTTGTATGCATTGCACAGAGATCATAAAAGGTTTTTACATTCCTTTTTAATTCAAAATATGCCTTTGAGTTTCCTGGGATGGAATTTAGAATTGGTAGCAGTATATTAAAGATTGACCATTTATTTGTCAATCTTTTACCTTACAGACTGACTATTTGTATACTTAACCAGAAAAAAAGTTACCATGAAGTCGATTCCAACTTACAGCACCCCAGGTTTGTGTCTAGTAGAAGAAGTATACTCCATAAGGTTTTCAGTGACTGATTTTTAACAGGTCATGTTAACTAGTTGTTTACTATTACCAAATCTGGGATGAAATTTATCTTTAAAGGATGTGAATTCCACAATAACAGGGTCTCGTGTTTACTCCCTGCACACAGCACAGTGCGTAACTCGTACTATGCCCTCAGTAACTGTTGAATAAACAAGGGACTAAATGAATGGGTAACTTGGTTTGCTCATTGGAGATAATGCTGTTTTACGGAAGAGAATGCTTTCTCAAAGAGGTTTACTTAGGAAATCTAAAGGTTACCTACTAGTAAGGCACTTCCTATAGGAAGTGACTTCTTGTTGTTAGGTGCTGTCGAGTCAGTTCCAACTCATAGTGACCCTATGTACAACAGAACAAAACACGTCCTGGTTCTGTTCCATCCTCATGACCATTGCCATGCTTGATCCCATTGCTGTAGCCACTGTGTCAATCCATCTCATTGAGGGCCTTCCTCTTTTTCGCTGACCCTTCACCTTACCAAGCATGATGTTCCTCTCCAGGGACTGATCCTTCCTGACCACATGTCCAAAGTATGTGAGACAGTCTCACCACCCTCACTTCTAAGGAGCATTCTGGCTGTACTTCTTTCAAGACAGGTCTGTTCATTCATTTGGCAGTCCATGGTATATTCAATATTCTTTGCCAACACCATAGGAAGTGACTAAATGGTAATAATCTGTTTTTTTTTTTTGAAATGTGGTCAAGGAATTAAGATTATTTTGACATTGGATTTTTTTTTCTTTTTGTTTAAATGTATCAAGATTAAAGAATCTTTTTTCTCCTGTGTGTATTAGTGCTATTCTTTTGAGGTCTTTTTTTAGAGCTGTTAAACAACGGAAACAATAGGTGCAAAAAATTACCTGTTTGAGACAGACTCTTACCCATATTGTTTCAATAACGGCATCAATTTCTGAATGAAAAAAAGATGAGAAAGAGGTCAACACAGCAACTGCCCGTCTGAAAATCAGCCATTTTATGTTATTATTAGCTGCTGTTGAGTCATCCCTGACTCACAGCAACCTCATGTACAACAGAACAAAATGTTTTATAGAGCGTTTTATAGAATGCTCATATTGATAAGAAAAAGATTTCACTCTTAGACCACTCATGCGCAGGCCCTTAAGAGTGTTTTAGATCAGGGCTTTGAACTGGTTCAGAACAGTTCAGTAATTACCAGTGTAAAGGAGGGCAGCATATGCATTGCACAGCAACCAAATCTGTTGCCCGTCGGATTTTGATCTGAGTACGAAACAAACAGCAGTGCTCCACTCAAAGATGGCAGCCAGCTGCGCTGGTTTGAAGGTATGTCGCTCGCCACAGTCCTGCCAATAATCCAATCTCCCGCACGGATCCCAAAAGTTTCAGCAGTCTGTGCAGGAGACTGGATTATTGGCAGGACTGTGGAGAGCAAACCATATTCAAAGCTGCGTAGTCAGCCACCATCTTTTTGTGGAGCACAGCTGTTTTTGTTTCCTACTTGGGTTAAAATCCAACAAGCAACAGATACTGTCCTTGTTTATGTCAACAATTCCTGAACCATTCCAAACCAGTTCGAAGCCCTGGTTTAGATCTTGAAAAATGTTTTTTCCCATTAACCTTTTTGATTAAATGGCTGGTTTTAGAGATGGGTTTAAAGAATAATGTTCAGATTTGTGCATGCTAAATTTCAGTCACTCCACTTCTCTGAGCTGGAGGTCTGTACAGTGGATAAGTCTATGAAGTTTCTAGATGGGCAACTGGAAAGATGACGAGATTTCCAGCAAGGCTAGAACATCTATAGCCTATTTGTCCTGCACCTAAATTTCCTTGACCACTGGGTATCCTTTTCATCTTAGATATACTTTCTACTGGGAACTTTCCGGTTCTCATTTTATAAAGCCAGAATTTAGTCTTTTTTTCTTTCTACAGAGTCTACCATTAAAAAAACAAAGTTTGTAATGTTTTCCTAGCATTGCAAGTAACTGTTTTGTTATATCCTAGTATCAGCAGTCCTCATGGTACTAAAGAAAAGCAATGCTGAGAAGGCCACCAGTGATCTAGTGCTTTTTCTGGAGGTGACAAGGGGATCCAAGAATGACTTCATCAGACCCTGTTGGGTAAGGAAGCTCCTATGCCTTCTTTTCTGATATTCAAAGACTCAAACATCAAGGTTCTCTTCTCATCTTTTTCTACTATTTGTCCTGGCAGTTACGACAAAGAAAACACAGAAATACAATACTGACATGGCACTGCTTGCTAGCTTTGAAAAGCAAGTAGGAAAACAAGGAATATGAATAGTTCAGAAGTTATGCATCCTTGCCTAAATAACAAAACTCATCTGACAAGGATCCAAATATAAATTGACTACATTTCTGCACTGGGTATCTTGACTCTTAGAAGGTACTGGATTTGCATTTTCTAATTTACTTTCCAGTACTTTTTTCCTCTTGAAAATGCTCCCCAAACCACTAAACCACCAGAGGGCTATTATCAACTCCTGACACTATCACCTTCCTTTCTCTACCACCACATTACGGTAACTGGGCAGTGCAGACGTGAGGATGTGCTGTACACCGTCATTTGACTTTGGGATGTCGATTAGTTTTGTCACAAGTGACTATTCTTTTTAGGTCTCTCTCAGCTACACCTTTAAATTAAACTTGCACATACTAGGATTCTAAGGGTTTCATACTAAGACATGTAAATTATATCCCTAAACAACATGCTCAGTTCATAGATTTTTCTTACGGGCTAAAGAAAAGTAATATGCACACCAAAACTTGGTATCCGATTTTGGCTGGTTTCAGTAAGGATCTCCCAATATCCTTAGAAAGATACATCCCAGAGTCAAACAAATACATTTTATGGTGTCTGGTCTAAAATTGATTATACTATCAAATGCATTTTGAAGTATTAGATCTATTCCGTACAATAACAAATAATTGAGTTTAACTGCAACCAGTCAAAACTGAATTGGAATCCACCAGTTACTAGCTCTATCACCTTGAGAAAGTTACTTAACCAATCTGGGCCTTGGCTTCTTAATTTTTAAATGGGGATACTAATTGTACCTACCTCTTAAGGTTATTATGAGGATTATATGTGCTATTTATTTGTAAGGCAATTAGAACAGTGCATTGCTCCTAATAAAACACAATTGCCATTGAGTCAATTCCAACTCATGATGACCCCATGTGTGTCAGAGAAGAACTGCACTCCATAGGGTTGTGTTGGCATGTGGCTGTTAATACTTAGTGCTGGTCCAGTCTGTGACAAAAGGAGAAAACAAAGGACAAGGAGTTGATTTTTTCCCATAAAGTTATATTTTATAATTTCAAAGGAATAGCCTTTAATCTGAGACTCATTCTTTTCTTCCTTCTTTTCTTTCATTCTTTTGATGTGGAAAGCCCTTTTCTTTTATGCAACAATGAAAGTAGATGTAGGAGTTTTTTGTTGTTGTTGTTCTGTTTTTTAATGTTCTTGACAGTCCCCAAGTAATGCTCTTTCTAGTTTCTAATTCCAAAGTCTGGGAACCACTGGATGATAACTTCTAAGGCCTCATCTAGCACTAATATTCTACAGTTCTGTGGTCAACGGCATTGGTCACATTATCAATGTGTTGCAGTGCCCAACACATTACACATGGACATGGAATAAACTTGACATGGCAAGACCTGGAGCCGCTGCCCAGTCATCTTTGCAGTGGTAGAATTGGATTTTACCCATGCTGGGTATATCACTTCCAGCATTAATTACCATAACTCTTTTATGCTCCAAACTAGTTACAAATATAAAAATGAGGGGATAATTAGAAAATACTATTTTTAAATGTATACATCATGTTGCCAGACAAAACCTGGACCATACAAAACCAGCAAGGGGTGATTGGTGGATTTGGTCCAGTTTCCACCAAGTTCTACAAAGCACTTCCTCATTTCTGCCCCCTGAACAATACAGTAAGTCCCTTTAGTAAGGGCACTAGTTTAGGGAGGCACTGACTCTTCAGATTACCTTAAAATTACAGGTCTCAAGTATTGCTGATTTTTACTCACACTTGTTGAATAACTACCCAGCCTCAGGAATAGGATTCTTTGCAATCTGTAGCCCTTTCTGTGGCAATTAATCATACAGACTTTAAGTGTAATGCCAAGTTGTTTTAAAATGTTTTGAGGATGGTGTCCTGGTCTTTATCCATGTGACTAACACCAGAATGTTCTTGTACTGTAGGTCACAAATTATGAAATTACTTAAAAAAAAAAAAAAAGCTTCCAAAATAATACTCCCTAGGTCATACCAAAGCAAGTACAGAAATATATAATGATGGGTATGGTAAAACTGTTTGGTTTTTGGAATTGAAACTATGAGTAATCATTAGAAAGAAGAGGATTACAAAGAAAAGTAAAGAAAGGTCTTAAAACAAATATTTTTGAATTTATGAAAATTATCCCCAAATAATTCAAAATAATCAGGGAGCAAAAATAACTCCACCTAGTGAAGACAAAGGGGACACTGGTGGTTCAGTGGTAGAAGTCTTGTCTTCCATGTGGGAGACCTGGGTTTGATTTCTGGCCAATGCACCTCATATGCAGCCACTACCCATCTGTCAGTGGACGCTTGCATGTTGCTGTCATGCTGAACAGGTTTCAGACTAAGATGGCCTAGGAAGAAAGGCCTGGAGAGCTACTTCCAAAAATCAGCCAATGACAACTCTATGGATCACAATGGTCCAATCCCCAGCTGCTCATGGGGATGGCACAGGACCAGACAGCATTCTGTTTCATTGTGCATGGTGTCACCATGAGCTGAGGTATTACTCAATGGCAGGTAACAACAACAAGCGTGAAGACAAAGGAGCAGAAGTGCACATAAGGGAAAGGCTGGTGCAGGGTCCAGCCAAGAAATGATGGACTGAAAGGGGCAGGTGGAGGTGGAGAGAACCAGATGGATTCAAGCTGTATTTTGGAAGTAGAATGAACAAAACAGAGCATATTTAATAATATTTGCATCTGGAATTTCACACCATATACAGTTACCTCATGTGCCCTCCTGGTCTGTGATAACTGGACATGGCTGACAATATCTGCATTTTCCAGATAGGAAACTCAGGCACTTAGACGCATTAGAGCACAGGTGTGCTATAGGGGAAGAGCCAGGCAAAGATGTTCTCATAAGTAAGGGGACTGGAGTCAGAGGTCACATATGCATATGCAGGTCTATGTTGGGATCTATTTCCTCTACGACTGTTAAACATGTTTAGTCCAACTAAAAAAATAATAATAATCCCTAGGCATAACAAAACACCCACTTAGGCCCTGGGCACCCTCATGACAACTAGATCACAGAAGTACTTCTTAAATGGATTTTCCACTTCTTGCTTCAAGAAATTAGTGGCATTGTATTTCTGGTAGAGGATGTATATTTTGAATAATTCTTGCATATTCCTTTCCAAATAAATAGCATCTGCTTTCTAATTTTTAAGGAAGAGGCAAATCTGTTTTTAGTTGACATATTCATATGGAGTACTAATAAAAAGTTAACTGCAAGGTACTACTTGTTATGAAATGTTATTATACATTACATTGTTTCCACTGTTGATCTGATTAATTTAATGATTTGTTATGCTTTGAAAAGTGGCTGATACTTAGTAGGGGCTTAATAATGATTACTTAATGAATATTGTGCCCTAAAGCCTTAATATAGTCCCAGTATGGTGCAAAAAATAAAGTATTATAATGACATGTGCAAAGACCTGGAGTTAGAAAACCAAAAGGGAAGAACATGCTTGGCATTTCTCATGCTGAAAGAACTGAAGAAAATATTCAAGCCTCGAATTGCAGTACTGAAGGATTCTACAGGGAAAATATTAAACAATGCATGAAGCATCAAAAGAAGATCAAGGAATACAGAGTCACTACACCAGAAAGAATTGGTTGACGTTCAGCCATTTTAGGAGGCAGCATATGATCAGGAACTGATGGTACTGAAGGAAGAGATCCAATCTGTACTGCAGGCACTGGTGAAAAACAAGGCTTCAGGAACTGACGGAGTACCAATTGAGATGTTTCTGCAAACTGATGCAGCACTGGAAATGCTCACTCATCTATACCAAGAAATTTGGAAGACAGTTACCTGGCCAACTGACTGGAAGAGATCCGTATTTATCCATATTTATGCCTATTCCAAAGAAAGGTGCTCCAACCGAACGCAGAAATTATCGAACAATATCATTAATATCACATGCAAATAAAATTTTGCTGAAGATCATTCAAAAGCAGCTGCAGCAGTATATCAACAAGAAACTGCCAGAAATTCAAGCCGGATTCAGAAGAGGATGTGGAACCAGGGATATCACTGCTGATGTCAGATGGATCCTGGTTGAAAGCAGAGAATACCAGAAAGACGTTTACCTGTGTTTTATTAACTATGCAAACGCATTCGACTGTGTGGATTATAACAAATTATGGATAATATTGCAAAGAATGGGAATTCCAGAACACTTAATTGTGCTCATAAGGAACCTGTACATGGATCAAGAGGCAGTCTTTTGAACAGAACAAGGGGATACTGCATGGTTTACAGTCAGGAAAGGCGTGCACACTTATTCAATCTGTATGCTAAACAAATAATCTGAGCAACTGGACTATATGAAGATCAGGGCATCAGGATTGGAGGAAGACTCACTAACAACCTGGGTTATGCAGATGGCACAACCTTGCTTGATGAAAGTGAAGAGGACTTGAAGCGCTTACTGATGAAGATTAAAGACTAGTCTTCAGTAGGGATTACACCTCAACATAAAGAAAAGAAAAATCCTCACAACTGGACCAATAATCAACATCATGAAAAAACAGAGAAAAGATTGTAGTTGTCAACACCCATGGAAGTAGCAGTCAAGAAATCAAAAGACGCATTGCACTGGGCAAATCTGCTGCAAAAGATCTCTTTGAAGTGTTTAAAAAGCAAAAATGTCACCTTGAAGACTAAGATGCACCTGACTCAAGCCACGGTGTTTTCAATCGTCTCATACACATGTGAAAGCTGGACAATGAATAAGGAAGACAAAGAAGAATTGACTCTTTTGAATTATGGTGTTGGCAAGGAATACTGAATACACCATGGACTGCCCAAAAATGAACAAATCTATCTTGGAAGAAGTACAGCCAGGATGCTCCTTTGAAGCAAGGATGGCAAGACTTTGTCTCACATACTTTGGACACGTTATCAGGAGAGATCAGTCCCTGGAGAAGGACATCATGCTTGGTAAAGGGGAGGGTCAGTGAACAAGAGAAAGACCCTTGATGAAATGTACTGGCACAATGGCTGCAACAATGGGCTCAAGCATGGCAACGATCATGAGGATGGCGCAGGACTGGGAAGTGTTTCATTCTGTTGTACACAGGGTCTTTATGAGTCGGAACCGACTCACAGCACCTAACAACAACAATATGGTGCAAATGGTTAACGCACTCAGCTGCTAACCGAAAGGCTGCAGGTTAGAGTCCTTCCAGAGGCACCTTGGAAGAAATGCCTGGAGATCTACTTCCAAAAAATCAGCCACTGAAAACCCAATGGAGCACAGTTCCACTCTGACATGCATGGGTTCACCATGAGTTGGAGTTGACTCTATGGTAACTGGTAGAGCAGACTGAACAGATGAGAAGATTGAAAGTACGTGGGGTTAAAACCACATGCCTAGGGTCATACATGTAGCAAATGGTAGAGCTAAGGATTTCAAACAGGCTGTCTGGTTCCAGAGTCTGTGCTTTTAATATCACATTATCCTGCCCCTTGTAAGCAAATGGAATATATATATATATTTCTTAATCTAAAGAGCATACAATACTTTAAGTGTATTCCAAAATATTATATTTCTATAACTAGCTCCACAAGCTTAATCTCCCCAACAGTAACATAATGGCATTATTAACTTATAATATGGTTCCCTCTGAACTCTTCCTAAATATAGTTTTTCACCTCAAATCTGGTGCTAAAATAAGAATCTAATTTCTAAACAACAGAATTACAGTGTTCTTTGTAAAAACAAAGAAAAGAAAAGAAAAAAAAACACGAAGAATAACAAAGCATTTGGGAGCACCACACTTCAGACGTAAGTTTAGCAATGATGTAATTTAACAGAAATCAAATCCTACCAGGGACCAAACTCCAGAAAGTGAATGCTTCAAACATACACTTAAAGACATAGAAGCATTTGACAATGTCTATGAAAAGGCTTTTTTTCCCAAAAAAGACAAATATAAATGGGTTGTTATAGGAAGGACTTTTAATGAAAAGTCCGTAATCAATCATTTCAAAAAGGCATAAAAACCCCAAAACACTTTTTTAAAATATATGCTTGAGGGTAACCATTCCTATTATGTTCTAGAAAATCACAAATGTTAATCTAAATATCATGTCAAGGTTTTGTTTCTTTTTAAATGACTATGTAGTAAACTCTCTAATTCACAATTATAGGTTTTTTGTTTTGTTTTGTTTTGTTTTACAAACTAGAATAATTTTGAAACTGACAGCCCAGCAAGGCTACCAAGATCCTGACTAATATTGCTGCTAATGGGGCTGTAAGCCAAGGAATGCATGAGGCTTCTAGAAGCTGGAAAAAGCAAGGAAATGGATTTTCTTTCAGAGCTTCCAGAAAGGAATGCAGCCTTGTCAACACCTTGATTTTAGCCCAATGAGACCCATGTTGTACTTCTGATCTACAGAACTGTAAGGTAATTTGTGTTGTTTTAAACCATTAAGTTTGCAGTAATTTGTTACAGCAGCCTAGAAAACTAGTACAGGTATATAAAGTTGCAAGTTAGGTCCTTGTCCAATGATTTCATAGAGAATTGAAACAGTTCATGATGTTTAGATATCTAGGAGGCATACTGTTCAAAGAAGAGCCAAATTATACAAAATCCAATTTTAAAAAAGGATATGTCCCTTTAATATCAACAGTCAAGTGAATGCCACTACAATCTATGTAGGCAATCCATTAAAATCCATGAGAATAAAAAACAAGATGCTCTTTGACAGAACTATTTATCCACCACAGTCAAATTCATTCTCTTGTCTCTGATTCCTAGGTCTCGATCTTGGCTCACTCCCTGAATGACAGCTTTCAGGATGTCGTAGCAGCTCTCAATGTCTCTTCGTGACACCCTTAAAAGTTCTATCTGCCTCCTCTCTAACCCTCTTCCCACTCCACCCCTACCAACAACTCTGCTTCAATACCCAAACGAGGGAGGTATTTCCTCCTTATGAAAACCCACACTGAGCATGCCCATCCTGCTTTTTCTCTCTTCCCTGATGCTACGTTATCCTATAGAAACTTCTTCTCTTCCAGGGGAATCACGGAGAAGCTAGTCACTTTCCTCTGCATCTTCTAGGCTAAGAACTCCTCCCTTGAGCATAAAGGCAACTGACTCAGCTCACGCTGAGCTCATGACAATGTTATGCCAATGCCTTGCCCACTTGTGTGTCCAATACATTTGAATACCAGCAGGTCAGTGGAAAGATGAATAGTTACATAATACACCACCAGAACCCTTTGCTGGGGGCAAGTTAAGATGGCTTATGAGCTCCAAGAGATGCTTGAGCTCGAGAAAGTAAAGAGAGAAAACCACAAAGTATTTGCCAGCCTTGCCAAAGTATATATAGTCTTTTGCCTTAAGTACCTAAATGGCTCAAGACCTAAGTTAGAAAAAAATGTTTTATATCTAATTTCAATTCTCTTTGGAATAAGTAGCTGCCCACTGCTTAATTAATAATGTACTCATTCAAAGGGGATGGACTTCAGAGCTATTGTCCCATCTTTGCCAGAAATGAAGCCAAACAAGTTATTTCAAGACAGCCTGCCCAACAAAATAACTTGAAGCTACAACTGGGGTAGCAGAATGTGCTGTCCTACCATCAGGCGACATGTTAGTCAGACCAACTTGTCAATCAACATCCCTCCAACTATCAGACTCTCAGTGACTGTCCTTCAAGTCTAAATAGTGGATGGTGCACCCCCCCACCCCAATCCAATACAATGCTGCAATTATTCAATTGACTTGGAAATGCTATTGACCAGATTCTGGGGCTAAGAAAATACTGCCTATCCCCATAAAATTTTATCCAGAGATAATTAGTGAAAATAAATGATGAGTGGCCTCCTAGCAAAAACCACCTCCCAGTAGCCCATGCCCCCTTCAGTATACTGGTGCTCTCCACTGACTATGGTGATTGGATGTTTCAAAATGGTACCCACTCCACCCACCTAATAGAGTATTGAACTTGATCTCTGAAGTTCTCCATTAGAAGCCAGTTGCTTAGATTGCACAATAAGGCTTTGAAGAAGACTTTTGTTCTTTTAATTCCGTATATAGGCTCTGAGTTTTTTGAGCACGAGGCTAAGGAATTGCTTTCCTACTATTTCTGTGATTGTATAATCACCTAGTGCCTAGACCTTGGCTTAATTCACCTTCTCTCAGAGCTAGACAACAGCCAGGTCTCTCCAACACATTCTTGTGACTCAGCCCCCAAAACCTAACTTCTCTGGACCATTTGAACATACTTCATTACACAACTTGAACTTGTTGTTAGTTGCCCACTGAGTCCATTCTGACTCATGGCGACCCATGTGTGCAGAGCAGAACTGCCCCATAGAGTTTTTAAGGATGTGACCGTTTGGAAGCAAATTGCCAGGCTTGTCTTCCAAGGCACCTCTGGGTGAGTTCAAATGGCCAACCTTTCAGCTAGTAGTTGAGCGCTTAACCGTTTGCACCACCATGGGACTCCACATTGAATTTAGAGCTCTAGAAATATTATCTGAAGTTCATGAGGCTAATTAA